GTCTTGAAAGAAGCTTCTCTCTTGGCAGACGCTCCGGATTTGGAAACCATCAAGAAGGCATTTCTGGACCTGTCTCTTGGCGCAAATTAATCTATAGAGTTCTATCCAATCACACCCAGACTCATCCAATCACAGGCAATTTAGTTTTTCATTGATTTTAGTATACTAGTAAAATTTAGTTTAGTTGGCTACTAAATTTCCAACTAAACAAAATTTTGGAAAACAATAAAGCAACATATAAACAGCATAACAAATTTCAAACAATTTCTACAAACATACATCAACCCTGTAGAAAAACATTATAATATAGTTAGCTCATACTCTGTCACTCCTAGTGGGATTTCTCACATGTCCCTTCATACTCTGTCACTCCTAGTGGGATTTCTCACATGTCCCTTCAAAGATCTCTCTCAAGTAACTCAGGTACTTGAAATACAAATTCACTACAAGCAGTTTAACACAAGAAATGTCCACAAAATTCTACACATGAATCTGGCCAGAAGGTGACTCAGAAAAGAGTGTCTCAAATACTCAGAAAAGAGTGTCTCAAATACATCTAGCACACTTGTTTCAAATCACAAGTTTCAACAACTCAACACTTTGTCACATTCAGGTCTATCATGTGACCCTTTCAAAACCAACTCTTGACTCACAGAATCATTTTGGGTACACATGTTTTTTCTCTGTCATTGAATCTGTATGCAACATCAACCTATGGTGCAGAAACTACCGCCTGATTCAGAAACTATAACAGATGTCTGGAGGAAGCAAAACATGATATATTATATACTCCAAGCTGAGTCTTGGTTTCTGAATCGTGGTTTCTCAATCGTAGTTTCTGAATCAGAATATGTGCGATAAACATGTACATAAGCTGTGTACACCTGCTCTCATGTTCACTACGGTTAGTAAGGGGTGGTATGCGGTAAATGTTTTCTAGGGTATATACAGACCAAGCGAACACAAACCGGACTCACAGTCAATTTTAGCCTGGGTACTTATCGCTAGGGACTACTTCGAAGAGATCGAAGCCATCATCAAGGCAGAGCCGGCCGGATGGACTGTGAAAAACCTTTGCTTGTGGACTGAGATGGTGCAAAGGGAGACGCCGGCGACAGCAATGCGAGTTGCTGTTGATGAGAAGACTGTGGAGGAGAAAGAAGAGGAATTGGAAAATGCTGCCTTTGCATCACTTAAGGCACAACTCGCGAACCTTGGCGCAGTTTTGTTTCTCATGACAGCTGTTGTTTTGATACGTTGTAGTGGTGGTTCATAACTCAATAACTTATGGTTTGGTGTTGTTACATGTACCCTGACCAGGAAGGATGAATGCGCATGGGCGGCTTTCAACGCAGCGAAGACCAAGCGAGCCAGCATGGTGCATGTTGTTGAAGTTCAGCATGCAAAGGAGCAAAATGCTAAGGGAATGGAGTTCCTTGATTTACTTGGCTCAAGATCTACTTGGTTCCTTCCACGCTGTTTTTTGGTGTCAGAAAGCAAAACGCTGCGCTCAGTCTTTGTGTACATTGTTGGTGCTTTTGCTGGTTAGACTCAGCCCAGAAAACTCTTTGACTGAGGCTTGTGGAAAAGTTCTGCGATGCTAGTTGCATGGTTCAATTGGTCCCAGACATCAACAACGCACCGTCACCCGAGAAGTTCTGCAGGAGGTGCGCTGCAGAATGGCAGGCCTGTTGAGTACTGTGTTGAGCTGCCACTGCATTCTCAACAATTTGATTGTTTTTGTTCACAGGTTGCCAAGGCGCTGTCCTTTCAAATGTTGCCAGATTGCAGTGGCTGATCTCCATTATGTGGTTGTGAATGATTTTACCAAGCTTGGCTGCATCGGGCAACAAGACATCAACCAACATGCACAGTGGATGTCGACCATTCTCGCCAAGAACCCCCTACGTACCTAAACTTCAATATCTTGGACGGGTTGCGTTCAAAATGTCAGCCACATTTGCCGCATTTGCATTCACATTTGCCGCATTTGTCACATTCAGCCACATTGTAAACGTCAGGATCAGGTGCCATCGGTGTGGTCATTTGTCCACTTCTCACTGGCACTGTTGCTGGAGCATCACTGCGGCAGGACCAAAGGACTGAATGATTGTTTTGCTTCTTGCTTTGACTGACTGTTTGTCAAGTGGTTCAAGGAAGTCCTTTGGTTGACTGCAGTCTGTCAAGTGGCGCAAGGAGGATCGAAGATAAGCTGGCGCAATACCAGCTGGCGCTCAGGCCGTTCCACTTGGCGATCAATTTGAGCAACCTCCGTGGAAACTCTGATCAACTCATGATTGCTCCTGACAGTTGTTTTGCAATGTTGGTTTCATGTGTCAATACTGAGGCTCGTGGCTTCACATGCCTGGCGCTACCAGAGCTTGCCTGACCCATTGCCGAGCCCACTGGCAGAGAATGAGTATGTTGCCCCGGCTACCAAAGGGCAGCTGACCTCAAATGACCAGCGCAAGAACTACACGGGCCTCCAGGAGACCGCGCAATGGCTGTCGGGGGTGGACATTCCAGCCAAGATGCTTGAAGCTTTGGGTGTTGGTGGTCTCAGTGCTGCCCTCAACTTGTCGACTCGTCATCTTGTCAAAATCGTCAATATCACAAAACAAAGGCAAAAAGCCAGCAACAACAACAACAACAACTACTACTACTACTACTGTGTAGAAGTTCTGTCACAATCTCCTTTGCAATTTGCAATCACAGTCATAGTGAAATCAGAGCGAAGTCCAAAACATGCCAAGTACAGAATCAAAGTTGTGTGCAGCCACATGTATTTGATTTGCACTGCTTAGGTGGCAAACATTTAAGCCATCATCTACCATGCCACAAGCTATGACGCAGCTTGGGAAAAGGCTGCGGCGCAGCTTTCATGCCCTGTGATCGGCCTCACCATGGACTTGGTGCCACAAGCTGGCATCAAAGGTTTTGCGCAGCCACATGCTGGAGGAATGGAAGAGGGACTCAGGTATGATCGAAGGCGCCAGGTATGTGCCAGATTGCCCAGGTCTCCCAGACGCAATGACTCCTCCAGCTTTGCTTGCGCGCAAGGAAGTCGAGAGGAAGTTGACCGTCCCCAGTGATGTGAGGCAGAAGTTTCTTGGTGACCCGCTGAGATCTGCAGAGTGGAAGAAACTGCTCAAGAGCTTTGAAAAGCTGCATGGAAGTACCAGCGCAGCTCCTGCGCCTGCAACTCCTGCAACTCCAGCTACTAAGGAGCCTGCTACTTCGCCTGCCGCAGAAGGCGCCGATGCAAATCCTTGGAAGCACATCTTTGAAGGTGAGCCTCGCACTCTTACAGATTTGGTGGCCAAGTACGGTGAACCGTCATCAACCAACAGTGCTCCGGGAAGCAGTGGCTTTGTGATCAAAATCGTTGAAGGGCCCCCAAGTTCTTCCTTCGTGCTCCAGTCGCTGGAACATTTGATTGCAATGAGGGTCCGGTTCTGTCACATGGAGCAGGCTCCTGGCTCCTTGACAGCAAAGCTGAGAAGATGCTGCAAGACAGGCCCGACAAGGCTCATGTTGCAAAATTTGACTCCGACAGGCACCTGTGCATTCTGGAGGCAGGGGGCCATTTGATGTATGAACATTGACTGTTCGATGGGGTTGGGAGTGATGTTGTCGTAAATGCCTTGACTTTGACTTTTCTTCAGTTTACTTTGACTTTACTTTTCCTGTACTTTTACTTGCTTTCTTCTACTTCGACTTTACTTTGATGTGACAGGAAGAGGATGGGTCAGACAGCTCCAAGCTGTGGAGGCATCTGGCCTGGTCGACTTTGAGTTGGGCGGCCATGTGGCCGAGCGTCCATCAGATGTATTGCGGGGCGACGCAGACGACCAGTAGCTGGGACTAATTTAACGATGTCGATTGTTTTTTGTGCGTCAGCTAGGTTTTAAGTTATCAAGGGAATGTCGATCGTTCACTGTGTGTGTTTACTGCCTTGAACAAATCCAAGGTTCAACATTTCTCCCAAAGACGGTTCCGTCATGCGTTGGAAAGCCAACTCAGTGCAGCTGAAGAGCTTGAAGCATTCCAATGCAGCAAGCTTCGTTACCGCTCAGAGCTTGAGAGAGAGCCCAGCCCTGAAGTTGGCATTTTTGGAAGCAGCATACAATGTGTGTTTTGATACGATTCTGAGGCGACAGGGACTGACTGCCAGTAAATACGTGTTCTGATACAAGGCATGGAGGCTTCGCATCTACAAGAACGAGTCTATCGTTGCCCCAGCGAAGCCTTTGTAGTTCCTTGTGGAAGGCCTGAGCTTGGACAAGAATGGAGTTCAGCGAATCGTGTGAGTTTACAGCTTAGTGTGTGCAAAGGTGATTTTGCATTTCAGTGGATTGAAACATGGTCTCTAGAAGAATTGAAAGTCCTGTTTCGTATTTCATAGTCGCGCTATGATTGTTGTTGCCCTGCCCACTGAACACGCTTGTAGTTTTGATTTGATCTGTCGAGGTCAACTGTCAGGGTACTAGGGACAAACCTTGTCCAGCCAACAGGTCCAGCTTCGATCACGATGAGGAAAAGTCTGTTACAGTCTCACATCCTTTGCTCAATCTCAGTGGCCGGAACATGCACGGCTACATGCCTAATTTGAGCTCAAAGCTTTAGCTTTTTCTGTCAACAGTTCCCTGTAGTTTACATTTTGATATTGCGCGCTTGAAGATTTTTGCTTTAATCTTGGGATTGCTGGCAAATTCTGAGGGTGCCCGTGAAACAATCCGAGCTCACCTCGACCATGCAAAGTGGAAGGAGAGCGCATTCAGCACGGATCAGTCGAGATCACAGCGTTGGATGCTGGGGACAGCGCCCAAGGCCAGCAGTTGTCCAGCTGAGCTCAAGCGATGTTGACAGAGGAATCGACATTGCACCTTCAGTTGGTTGTCTTTGCTTATGTTGAGGGCGGGAAGCGGCTCCGTCCTTCAGCGCGTCCCAAGTTGCGGCTCTCCACCAGCCAGTTCGAGACCTACTGCGACTATGCCTGCATGGTTGCGACTGCGCTTGCTGATGGGAGGCAGCTGGCTTCATGGACACCCGAGAAGGAGGCTATGGTCAAGAAGGCCTTTTTTCAGAAGTTCCTCACCTTGCTGTTTGTGTTCTTTTTGTGTTCCTTTGTGTCTGACGTATTTTATTATGTTTTTTGTTGTTTTAGTCTTGGGATCTAAGTTTGGCTGAGAGAGTTGCCAAGGGACTACATGTCCGATGTGGAAGCAACCATCACCGCAAAGCTATCCACTTGGAAACTCCAACACCTGTGGAGTGATTTGACCGAGACACCAGCGTCACCAGCAAAGGTGTTGAATGCCCAGGAAATCATTGACATGGAAGAGACTGCAAACGCAGCCAAATTTCGAGAGGTGAGGGCAAAGATTGCCCAAGACACAGCAATGATGACATCCTACAACTCCAAGAAGGCGGAGTTTGAAAGGAGGATCCATGTCGTGAACGTCATGCGTGAGCGTGCGCAGATGCAGATAGGTGCTGAGTTGCTTCGGCTACTATTGAACTAATTTGTTCTGTTTTAAAGGTTTGTGTTTGTTTTTAACAACTTTAACTTTGTGTTTTTATATCGTGGACCCACCAAGGCTCTGTGAGGCATTCATGGAGCGTATTTGCCATGTCTCCCTAAGTACACTACACAACCCTGTGGAAGCCAAGCTGGGCCAGATTTACAAGACTCACGCCCTGGCCAAGAAGGCTAGGATCATTCCCTCTTTTGTGCGAAGATCAAATTACATATCAATGACATAATGTGATAAAGAAATATTCTCATATCTCATATCTCACATATTCTTTGCATGCCGCAAAAAACGTACCGTATACAGGTTGTATGTTCAACCATCTTGCTTTTGGGCAGGTGCTGCCTCAAGACCTAGAGACTGTTCTCTACATCGATTGCAGCAAGATGGGTGTGATCAGCCAATTGGAGGTGAACATGGTGGGCGAGCTGGCCAACAAAGTGATTTTCCGCAACCCCATCCGTACCTGGTCTTTGCTTCAGGATAATTTTGGTCTGGATTTCCTGTTTGGCTTGAAGATGTGTTTTTATTAGTATCTGTTTTACTGGGCTAGATGACTAGCCAAGGCTCATGCTTGATTCTCATTCCGCCGCTTCTTGTGGGCACCGATGCTGGGGGAAGCCTGCGGAAAGATGTGACGCCTTTGTTCTGTGAAAGATGTTTGAAATGCCTTTGAGTTTGTGAAATTGAAAGCGCAGTAAAAATATAAATCTGAATTTGTTTGACCCTGCAGGAAGCTCGAGGACAAACTCCAGGCATGCCAGGTTGAATTGAGACCATGGACGCTCAATTTGAACATGGATGATTTGCACAAGAACAGGGAGGTCCCTGCAGCCTTCGTGTGCTACATTGGAGTTGCAGACAGTTGTCTGCCAACCAAGGGCACGGCTCACAGAACAGTGAGGGGCGCACCAGAAGCTGAGGCTGATGTGAACTTGTGCCTTGTATGAAGTTCAAATTGTTGCTTTGTTTTGTTTAGTTTTAAAGCTTTGGGGGGTGAATCTGAGCTGGATGTTTGAGTTCTATGTTGGTTTTGATTGCCCAGGTTCTGCCAGAGCAGCCTTTTGGAATCGCCAAGCTCTTGCCCCAGCTTCGTTTCCTCCAGCACTGCCAGACCGAGACTTTGTGGCTCCAGGAGGGGACACCCTCCATTGTCATGATGGCCGCCGCAACTTTACGGACTTGCAAGAGACAGCTCAATGGTTGGGAGGCATCAACGTACCCAAAGCCATACTCACCGCACTCTGCAGTGGCTGGGTTTTGCTTTGTTTTGTTGAAGCTTTTTGTTAAACAAGCTTTTCAATCATCATGTCTTGTTTGGCGCTTTGGGGGATTGTGATGGGCAGCTATATGAGGCAATCTGAAGGGCTCCAATGGCATTGCGCTGACCCATCCAACTGCATATGACGCATGTGTGGAGTTGGCTGGCCTTCAGCTAGGCTTTGCAGTGTCAGGCACGTCCTACCACGAAGCCAATGAGAAGTGTGCGCAGCAGATCGTGAAGGGACACTTGCTCCAGGACAGTTTTTGTTTATGTGTTTGTGTTGTTCATGTTTGAAAGCTGATCTATGATCTATGGGAAGCATTTGACCTTACTTTGGTGAACCTTTGTCTTTGTTTGCTCAACAGGCCTGGAAGAAAGGGACCGTACCGATGGATAAGCAGACACCGCGCTACAAGAGCCGGCCAGCGCCAGAGGACTTGCCCAAGGCTGCTGCTGCCCCAGAACTCAAAATCTGCCAGCTTGTCAATGGAGACAAGCTCGTCTTGCCAAAAGACATTCGCCAGATGTTCATGTCAGACCCAATCTGGGGAGTTCAGCAGGTTGCTGGGACTACCACTCAGCCAGCCAACCAGGGCATGACCAAGACTGAGAATGGTGGCAATGGCACTCCCAAAGCCAAAGACGAGGTGAAGGAGGAGGACTTTGACTGGGCCGGAGCTTTTCCAGATGCCCTGACAGTTTGGAGAAGATCAAGGAGAAGTATGGAGGCGAGAACATCACTGAGATCAGAACTCTTCATTGGCGCTGGTGCCTGGGCCCCACTTGTTCCTGTTGGCCAAGGAAACCATCCAGATCAAAACGAATGATGGCCCCATAATCGCACACGGCGCAGGAAGCTGGCTGATCGGTGACAAGGCCACCAAGTTCGAGTCCAGCAACCCAGGAAAGAGCCTGCAGCGCAACTGGACATCAGATGAGTTTCCAGTGGTGCTTGAGGAGTGCTTTGTTTGATGTTCAATTTCTGTTCCTCCAGGGGTTTAGACCAGGGGTTTCTATTTGTCAGCTTTGCAGGAAGACAATGTGGATTCGGAAGTCATGACTTTCCGCGCAGCACTTCACCATGTGGGGAAACAAGGAATGGTTGAGTTTACTATCGGAGGGCATAAGTGCTCGCGGCCAGCTTCGGTCAGTCAAGGGCTTGAAGATGACCACTTTTCTGTGGAGCCCGACAGCGAGAAGGCGTTGGCATGGAAGGCTAACCAGGTGCAGGCGAAACGTTTGAAGAGCACCAATGTGGCCAGCCACTTCACTTTCACACAGCTCCTGGCGAGCCCATTGACATTGGTTTTCTGGTTCAATCATGTTTGCTAGTTCAGGATTTTGTGTGTGTGACATATCCTTTTCCAAGATTTTGCCAGGTCTGGCGTTTGAGGAAGTATACTACTGAGAAGTGCATTGCTGCCGCCAAGCCACTTTGGTATTTACCAGCCGACCTCAAGCTTCAGAAGGGGGCTTGCCGAAGGCTGATTTGAGGTCACACCAAGTGACACTTACTTGTTGGGGCGCACTCACATTGCAGTGCATCGGGTGTTGGCGCTTTGGTGTTGGAGTGACTTTTGGCCACCCCCACCTGCCAGCAGCAACATCTCATGTGGGATGTTTGTGGATCGTGTGATTGTAGGAGCTTGGATCATGAGAATGAAAAGAGGTCTGTGACGGTCTGTGGGATGTTGGCAGCGCTGTTTTGCCATACCACTTTCTGAACTGTGAAGTTCTAGATTTGCTGAGGTCATTTTGTAAGAACCATTGAATATTGACAACCATTTGCAGATGGTGTGTTTTTGTGCTGGCTGCCGGCTGCAAGTTGTTCCAATGATTTTGAACGCTTTTTCAGGTTCCAAGCCTGCTGCTTAAGTGTGACTGTGTTCTTTGGAGTAGCTAGCTATGACTCAGCTATCTACCCAAATCGTGATCGATGGCGACTTGCTCGACTACGAGCCTGCTCCGCCAAAGGCTCATTGGGCTGCGTTCAAGCCCCAAGAGTTACAGCAGTCAGGCAGAGTCTCTTTTGGCATCTATGATTTGCCACGTCCGGCTCCCTCATCCATATTCCTTACATCATCTTCTGCTACGGCCCTTGCAAAGCCTGTGGAAGCTTGCCCAGAGTCATTTGGCTAAGCCTTGGTCTGATTTTTGGTTGGGCGGTTAGGATGTGAGGGTTGTTCGTTTGCATGAAACAATGGGCTTTGATTTCTCGGTCCATTGTACTCAGGCCCCACTCATCGCAGAAGGATCCTACTTTGCATCACTTTTCTGACCCAGAGAGCCCAACTCTCGGAGACCCGGGAAGGAAGGGGAAGAACTTCATGAGCCTGCTTTGAAGCGTCAGCGTGTCTTCATTGAAGGGGAGAGATCAACCCCTGAGATCGACTAGGTGCTAGCGGACGCAGCAGACGCCTGCTGTTGGGGCTGAAGAACTGGCTAAAGAAGTGGTACCTGGAGCTGAGGTTGAAGCGGGACCTGAAGCTGGGGCTGTGGTACTTGAACCTGTTGGTGAACAGGCTCCTGGGGAAGCATCTGCAGCTCAAGCTTCTGAGGCTCAAATGGTGCCCAGTGCTGAATCTACGAAGCCACCAGAGCCAAAGCACAAGTCTAAGAAGTCAAAGGAGAAGGAGCCAAAGACTGAGACTCCAGTAGATGAGAAGCAGCAGAGGAAGATCGACGTTCACCGTGCCAACAGCATTGCTTGGCGCAAGAAGTGGGTGAAAAAGGGAGTTCCCAGGGCTTCTACGACCAATGAAGAGGAGACAGGAGCTGGGTCCGCTGGGCGTGAGGACATGCCCATTGTGAGTCTTTCGAAAGCCAGGAAAGACTTTGTTCGGGAATGGATTCAGAAGTCTGACACGCCGCCATCACATGCACGGCGGAAGGCCGCTATGGACGCATGGATGGCTAGCTCTGTTCGGGCTGATGTCATGGCCGGGCGCAATGGGACTCAGAAGTGATTTTGTTCTATGAGGTTGTGAGTGCTTTGTTTTTACATGTCAACTGTTCTTTGTTGTGAAATTCGTGTGTGTGTGTCATGTGTTTCTGAACACAGAGTCATCGGCGCATTTTGGGGCTTCCAATAGCCTACACTCATTTTGGCTTCGTGGCAATCTATGGGGTGATGCCTCGGGCTGTTGCAAAACAGTGGACAAAGCCGAACTCACTGCTAAAAAAGACAGCTGATCAAAGTGGTCTTATGGAAATATGAAACCTTGCTGAAACATGAAATCTCTTTTGATGTGTATTTTGGAAATCAATCTTACTGTTTTCCACATCTTTTCACCAAATGGTTCAGCATCCAGCCCCTGGTTTGCCCAGGTCTGTCCCCCATCCTCCAACCATCTCCACGCCATTGCGCCGGCGCCGGCCGCGAAAGGCCATGAGGCCGATATATATATGTATATATATATATAGGTAGCTCACATTTACATAGGTATCTATATTATGCGTAGATACAACTATAGATATACATAGACCAGTTGTGACCGTGCCAGAACCTGAGTGCGCAAAGACTCCTCCAGATTCTGAGTTCTCTGCCTCCATGCTCGCCTTGCTCCCTAAGAATCAGTTGAAGCGAAAGAGTGCCTTTAACTTTGGAGCTTCCCCGAAGGGTCCTTCTCAGAGTCCACTCAATGATTTGCAGGCGCCAAATGGAGGTCCTTCTCAGACCCCGCTCAATGATTGCAAGTTGCCTGCAGATGGAGCTTCCCTGAAGCGTCCTTCTCAGACCCCGCTCGATGATTCGCAGGTGGCGAATGGAGCTTCCCCGAAGCGTCCTTCTCAGAGCCCTTCCCTGAAGCAGCCTACTTCTCAGAGCCCACTCAATGATTCGCAGGTACCAGATGGCTACTATTTTGACGACGCTAAAACACTTATCTTGGGGGACGCAACTCCTAGCCAGGACGTAGACATGATCGACAAGAACGAGAACATCAGTCCAGGAGGCGCTCTAATGGTGGCGATGGCGCCAAAGAGGAGGCTGATGAGATCGAGCGCAAGAAGGATGCCCAGGTAGTCAAGAAGGAGGGTGTTGGGCCTGAGGTTGATGACCAGACTGACCAGGTTGCAGTTGACACAGAGGAGGACTTGCGGCGGGATCCACGCTTCAAGAAAGGGTCACCACTGTCGGATTTCAGTCCTGGCACAGCAAGTTTCAATCGAAGGGAGCGCTGAAGAACCCTGTCAAACCACCACCTGTTGCCGCTGCCCCTGAAGCTGCCCTGAAGCTGCTGCTGAAGAGTCGAGTTCTTCCAGTTCCAGACCTCTCACCCTGAAAGATGCTCGTGTCCCTTGACAGCATTCATCAATGAGTCAGTCCATTCATGCCGTGTGCGCCTACTACACTGCCTGTTTCTCTTATGATTGTCAATGTTGTGTGTTTCACAGACGCAGCTCAGGAGAAGTTTATGTGCGATTTGTGGACGCATCAGCAAAAGTTCAAGATGGCAAACGCGGCTTGGATGGAAAGTGATCTTAGGTCCAGGATCACGCTGGCCAGAAAAGGCCATGGCTCAATCGGAGCTGATTGATGGATTTACTCGGGTTTGCATTTTGGTAGCCACCTGCAGTACAAACCAGGGCAAGGGCCTGTTGAGGTTTGGTGGCATTGGTGGCAACCTTTGGGGAAAAAGTGCAACATTCCGGAGTCTGATGTGATTGTTATGGATTGCGATTTGTTGCATTTGTTTTGCATTGTAATTAGCCCTCGCACTCTCAGCCCTGGACCTGCATTTGGGCTGCATTTTGCTTGACCTGCAGGACCTTGCAGCTGGAAACTTTGCAGGCAAACTTCGGAATATTTCCATTGTGGTAGTGATAGTGGTAGTAGCACTAATAGTAACAGCAGTATTATATATTTGTTGTAGTAGCAGTAGTAGTAGTAGTAGAATGATGTGTTCATAGATTGAACAGCTAGTGGTGATTGTTTGTAACTACTTGCGCATTCTAGATACTCCAACTCTAGAGCGCAAAATCATCTGCAGATTCGATCAACTTCCCTGTTCAGAATGCTTTGCAAACATCTGCAACGTTCACACTTACACCTGTTGTGGCGTGTGGCAAGTCAAGCGCTCAGCTAATTTTGCCGTCGATAACATGACATCTGCCATTTTCTCCAACGTTGTCGCCTCCTTCTTGGCTGTCGATCCAGCGGATTCGCCCTCACAAACCAATCGGTTCGTGTTGCGGACAGGCCACTGTTTAGCAATGCCCCAAAAATCAAGACGGCCTCTCGGTATCCCTGCAGGTCGCAACCCCTCTGGGAAGGCCCGCTCCCAGCACTCAGCCGGGAACGCTCAACTCCGCCGGGAGCGTGGTCACCAAGACCACAGGCCTATAGGTCCAGCCAGCATCCTCCTGATTTGCGGCTTCTGTTTCACATACAGCTGGAATCGGGCGTTGCCCGACATAGCCAAGCTCTGTCCTTGGTATGCCAGAGTCAGTGGCATAGCCATCGTCATTTCCGATGGCAATCGTAGCCCAAGCAGCGAGGCATGTTGGCACAACAGTTCCAGCGCATCTTGCCCAGATGTCTTACCATCCAACAGCTTCTCCCATAAGGACCTGGCAAAACTTGGGTCCTGCAAAGGTCTCCTCCCCATGCTCTCGCGAAGGTTTTCCTGAGTCTTGTCTGCAATTTGCTGCCGCAGCATTTGCATTGAACCGTGGTCCCACAAAGTCTCATCCAGCATGGACAAGAAATTGGCAAATTGAGCAGTACTCAATTCTGCCACCGAGCCTAAAGCCTTCAACAGATTCTGTAGCTGCTTCAGCCTGGCGTCTTTGTAGGTGGGCAAAGTGCGCAGACCCTGTAGAAATT